GCCAACTTTACTTTGGTTTTGGGATTCAGAATCTGATCCTCAAAAGTAGGATGTTACAAATAACAACTAAAATATGGCATTGGCTTAGTGGAACTGGCAGGCCAGCAGATGGCAAAGACAGACATTGCCTTTTATACAGTGACTAAGGTGTCACTTTGATGGTAGTGTCATCTGCAGTACTTTGGAGGAGGAACCACATGCTGACCAAGGCCAGATAATAGAGAAAATGGTGGGAGGGTACAATAAGTATGACTGTTGTTCCTTGTTGCTTTTCACTAAGTCCCATAAAAGTGAGATTGGCTGGGGCTTGAGCCTGGTGGGCTGCAGCAGAGATGGGAGGGAGCCTGGTTTGGCTAAGGGAGGCAGCCTGTAACCTGTGCTCAAAATGCATGAAGGTCTTCAAGTACAGAAAATACCAGCTGCTGATGTTCTTCAAACTGCAGCTATTCAAGGCAGTGGCCTTGAAGTGACAGCCTTAGCAGGAGATAAGGCTGAGGGCAGCAAGCCGTCTTCAGGACTCTCAGCCAGGAAATAACTAGGTAGCTCTAAAGATCAGATGAAGGGTCTTGCCTTCCCACCCAAGGCTTCTCTTTCTGGTGGCCTCAAGGTAGCCCCCCTTAAGAGGCATGAGCAGAGCACAGAATGTCATTCTAGGCCAGACCTTCAGCTGTGCGTTTGCTGGAATTCAGAAACCACAACTCTGGGGACCCCGCCAAAACTGCTCCAGAAGTAAACCGGTGACAAAAGCTGTTCTGTCCCCAAGAAGGCTGCCCGCCACTGCATTCCCACCTTGGATGTGGCCATGGAGGCCCATGGACAAGGAAGTCCCCCCAGAGAGCAGGACTTGGCTCTCGGGCAGCTGAGGGACTTACTGGCCTTCTAGAAGCATCTTCATTCTTCCTGTGCAGTGGGCTTGGATAACTGCTTGGAGCAGTGTTTCCTGTTCTTTCCTCTTATGAATGAGTTTTCAGTGGTTGTTTTCCTATTTCTACTTCCCTGCTGTTTATGAAGTGTGTTGGGAGATGACTTGTCTTGAGTTTAGAGGTCATTATACAAGAAGTCACGCAGAGCTGATGGAGAAGACCACAGATCATCCAAAGGTGATCTTAGCTTTAGCTTCAAACCATAAGTGGCTGGGGCTTGGGTTGTCTACCTTGGAGAGAGGAGGAACGGCAGAACCAAAGGATTGAACTAAGGTAGAGATTATTAATTGTCCCTCAAACCCATTCTTTCCTTCTCAGAAAAAGAACTCTTGATTTTGTAAGATACGTAGTTTCTGGGAATAAAAACCTTTCCTAGACTGCCTTGCAGGAGGTATAATGCTACCACTAAGTTCTAATCAATAGAGATGTCCAACATCGAGATGATATACCCTAAGGGAGGGGGTTTTGCTTGCTCCTTCCCCCTTCCTCCATCAGGCTGGCTGGAGCCATCATCACGGACCTCAGCATTGAAGCAGCATCCCAGGGATGGCAGAGCACCAGGTCAGAAGGAACCTGGGACCCTGCGGCTCTTGGAGCCACCCTGGCAGCCCTGTGTGATATATAAAGTACTGAAACTTCTTTACGTCAGTTATTGTTGTCATGACAGCTGAACCTAATTCAGATCTAGAATTTGCCATACCAGGTCAAGACAGAAATAGGTATGGAGCATTGTCATGCTCCTGACCAGAGGGAAGGCAGGCATGGGCAGAGAGCACTCTCCTCCAAGACAGTTGATGTTTACTTAGAGAAAAAAAAAAAAGAAGCAAACAGAGTGAGAAAATCCTTTCAGAAATCAAGACAATTATTAGAATAAAAATGTCAGCAAACAACAAAAAGTGTTGCATAACTTGTGTGTTTTTATATCATCAAACTTTTTCAGTAGAGTCACGGACGGTTCAGAATGAAAAACATCCCAAATTTAGGGAAAAAAATGTCGCTTATTAAGATACTTTCCAAAATGACGTAATACCAATCTTTTCGTTGCTCCAAACAGAATGTGGGTTATAAAGATGGCGGACAGTCGGCCATCAGACTCCCACATGTTCAGTTCCTCAGAGTTAGGCTGAGGTCAGAGTCTCTGCAGTCTTTACAGGTTTTGTTCTCAGCGCAGGATGGCAAGAACCAGAGGGTGCCGATCCTTGTCTCGGCTTTCAACCCTGCTGAGGTTTGAGGGACAGTATCTTGGACACAAGTCATGGAAAGGTGCTACGTCTCTCTCCAGTTGCATTATATGGCTTTGATTGGGGGTTAATTTCAATTCTCTGGAACACTGACTCCCAGAATGGTAAACGTGAAAGAACCCAAGAACTCATCTAGTCCAGCCCAATCTTCTCCTTTTGACACATAAGGAGATTGAAGCCTTAGGGTGTCACATCTCACCCAAGTCTAGGTCTAGACCCTAGTGAGCTTTCCCTTGTTTGAGCGTCTATGAGCATTTCCTATTGATGCTGCCTCTTTGTTGCCTCTGAGGGATGAAGCGGCCTGGTGCTTTCACTAAAATGATAATTTCTGAGGAACAACAAAAACAAAAGTATCAGGTAGCAATAGAGGACCAAGAGCGCTTACACTAATCTAAAAGCATTTTTAATGTTTCAATGTTAACTGTCTGGAATTAAAATAAAAAGCTTAACTAAAAACCTTTTTAAGTATAAATTACTATGGTAGGAATTACAGACCAGCATGTTTGTGATATAACACCCCTCATCCTGACCTCCCCCAGCCAATCTGAGTTTATCTTTTTTTTTTTCTGTGAAGTCAAAATACCAAGTGCAGGTTCTACAGGGACACAGGGAGGGACGTCCCTTCTTAAGTCAGCACATCGGTGGGTCTGATCAGATCTTCCAGAAAACAAAATGCAGATGTAAAATGTCTTTTCTGTTCACATCCAGCCAAATTTTCCAGGCAAAATATTCCGTTTTGAAGTTTTTCACTTAGGACTCCAAAAGGCTAAAGTAGAACTGCTTAAATGTAGGAAGCACTGAAGCAGGAATGTGGTGGCACAAAATTTAATCAGCTGTGTCTGCAGTAATATTTACTCGTGTATTTTGCCCCTTTGGATAATTGTCTTGTCTTGTTCTTCCCCAGTATTTCATGAATTTTGTTGCTAGTAACATCTGCTGGGTCTGCACCACTGGCCTGAACCATGGCAGAAAAAAGTGAGCTGGAACCCTGGTAAGCTTTTTAGAAATTTACATACAATAATGACAGCATTTCTGCAACTATATTGAATAATTTGTTTTTTAAGGAAAAAAAAAAATAAACCACAACTCTCCAAACACATTTAGTCTTCTCAAGCTTCTTGCACACAGGGCGCTGGTGCATTTTTATCAAACAGCAATGTCTTGCTAGACATCCTGATGGCATTTACGTGGAGGTCAGCTTTCTACCTTCCCCTCTTTTTTGGGACTTAACTGGTAGGATGTTTTTTGAGTCCAGACTGAAGAAAGGCATTGGTAGGAGGATATTCATTTGTCCTTTTGTTCTCAGCAAAAGAAATTTTCTTTTGTGGAAAGATCCATATACTTCTGCTTCTGGTTTTGGGCTAATGGCTGGTAAATTAACTTTTCCAAGTAATGCACCTGTAAGCAGCGTCAGATAGCCACCAGCTGATGAAATCTCCGGCTGAGAACATTTTCTTCCGTCCTCATATTCAACCCATAGCCTCAGAATTATTTCTCCTGTTTTACAGGAAATAGAAGAAAGAGATGTACTGCTCCCAAGTGACCAGGCCAAGAGACAGTTATTCAGGAGTGGGACCAGGAACCAAATCTCCCAACTGCATAACTGCAACCTTTCCGGGTTCATTCTGGAATCCGATAAAGGTGGGGCTTCGATGGTCTCCTGTCTCAGAGTAGTGGGTGACCCGGTGTGACACTTCCCTCCCACCCTTGCCATTTAGCAGTAAAATACTGGTGGGGGACAGGTGGGAAATATGCAACTAAATGAGCTAAGTCTGGAGATAAAGAACCTTCAGAAACCCGGCTCCCATCATCTAGGTCTGTATCCAGCTTGCAACCAGGAAATGACTCAAATGGTCCAGAGTTTGTGAACCATCAAGATGGCTTCACTTCTGCACACTATGATATAAAAGCATCCTTTTCCTATAAATCCCACTAAGAAACTGGCTGAGCTTCCTCTCCCTTCTGGATACATAAAAGCCGCTATTTAAAAATACCACGTTAAAAATTTTATGTAATTTATTTTCCTTAAATAATAATTTGCTACAATCCTGTCACAAATTTTTAAAAAATTTAACACAGTATGAACAAAGGCATAATTCTTTAGAACAATCAAAATCGGGGTGCACTTAGAATAAATTAACATCAAATTGTGTTTATATTCAGATAGCCTGATCCTCTCCTTTGAAATGAAATGGAGACCATTCTAACCGAGGGTGAATGCACACATTTGTTCTTCTATACAGAGACTCATTCTTTATAGAAACTCAACTGTAATTTGAATCAAGTTCGGAATCCTGAGAAACACTTACCATGGGCACACACACACATCCACACACATCCACGGACAACCCTCTAGAAGCTGGGGTTCCCATGGTTCCACGACTAGATCTTTCCTCAGAAGGGCCAAAGATTCTGAATATTTAGATGATATCCCATCTCCCCTCAGGAAAATCATTAATGTTTCAAGTTTAATAGCTTGAAGTAGCAGCAATCCACGTAGTAGGTTCAGTAGTCGAGAATTCCAGTCTTGGGTTCTGCAGGTATAGCCAAGGGGCGAGTAGAGGCGAGAAGGACCCCACTCCCAAGGACGGTTAGGACGGACAGGCGAGAAGGACCCTACTCCCTAAGGAGACGTCGTTCTCAGAGCCGCAGCTGAAAGCTCGCCTGAACTCACATGACTAACCTGGTCCAGGCACTGTGTGAGCCCCTGGAGAGGGTCACTAATGCAGGGAGCAAGTGGGGCGTTTTGGACATGATTCTCAGAAACACGAAATACGGGAAGTGGTGGGGAGATGGGGCAGAGGAAGGCGGGGCAGAAAAGGTCGCGCCTGCCCCTCAGCCTGCCTCTGAGTCCACTCATCAGGGTTCCCCTAGCAGCGGCGGGTGAATGCCAACGGTTCCAGCTCTGCCTCGAAGCACAGAAAGCTCAGCCCTTAGAGTCCTATAAACACATACACACAAACGCCCTAGCAACTCCAAGTAGCCACACCCTCTTGTTTCTGGGAGGTCAACACCATGGCTGGCCTCCCCTCCCAACTGCCCAAGGATGGTTTACAGGAACATGGTGAGGTCTAGGGAGGAAGGCAATAGGACAGGCCCCAAACCGAGATCCCCTTTTGCTTATTTCGAGGACGAATGGGCCTAAGAGTTGCTATAACTGCATGCGTTATCTACACGGTTCCTCTGTACATGATACCTCTTCTAGAGAACTTTAAAGTGCCTGGGTTCAAATGTGCTCATTCCTTCCCCACGGCCTACAGATTTCCTCTTGCTGCTTCCAGAGAGAAGGTCTGTTCTGACGGAGGACGCCCTTGGGAAGGAGGAATGAACGCTTCACAGTTGTCTTAACTGGGATCCAGCATTTGGACTAAGCCCTCTTCATAAACACGAAGGATCGCTTCACATACGAACTTGTACTGGCTCTGGAAAAGAAAAGAAAAGAAAAGAAAAGAAACCTGTCGGCCCACCCGCGGCTCCGTACCGCATCCACGCTCGGTCTTTGACGCGGCTTGTGAGTGATCTGAGCTCCGGCTCTGGGCCAGGGCAGACCCTGAGTCCCTGCCGGGGATGCACGGCGGGGCAGAGATCCCCGTGCAGCCGTTATTCCTGCCTCATGAGGGCTGGGGACTCCCAGACAGTGACAGGCAAAGTGTCATGGAAGCCCCTGCCCAGGGAGGAAGCAGCCCCTTCCGTGCGGCGGAGTCAAGGTTCAGAGCCAGGGCCGGGAACACCTGGGTGGGAAAGGAGAGGCTGCGCTGGCGGCCGGGCCCTGGGCGTGTGGGGCCTTGAGCCACAGTAAGGAGCCTGGACCCTGTTTTAGGAAGGGCCACTGAACGCTGCTCAGCAGGATGTGGTTCTTTATATTAACTGACACCTATGGAACTTATTTAGTGAAGTGTACGGGGCAAAAGAAAGCGTTGAGACGGTGCTTTACCAGCTGGGAAAATCCACCCGGAAGATGCACTGTAAACATGGTAAACCAGGGGCGCCTGGGCACCTGGGTGGCTCAGTGGGTTAAAGCCTCTGTCTTCGGTTTAGGTCATGATTCCCAGGGTCTTGGGATGGAGCCCCGCATCCGGCTCTCTGCTCAGCAGGGAGCCTGCTTCCCCCTCTCTCTCTGCCTGCCTCTCTGCCTACTTGTGATCTCTGTCAAATAAATAAATAAAATCTTAAAAACACAAAACAAAAAACAACCCATGGTAAACCGGCAGTGAGGGCTTCCATAACATGAACCAGGATCTTTTCCTCTTAATTGTATTTCCCAAGTATAGTATAAAACAAGAGCTCACGATCATTAGAGAAATCTTAGAAACTCTGTCCATGAGCTTGTGAGGGCACAGAGCTGGCTGCAACATGGCATTCCCACTCCTTTCTTTGCTTACTCCACCGCCTCCTCTAGAAAGCCTTCCTTGACTTTCCAAAGTCTGCTTTTGATACTCCTCCATTGAGTTCCTTGACTCCCCTTAGACTTCATTGCTGTTGAAGTTTTTAACTGACTGATCCAGTTTTCCCACCACATAGAAGCTTGGGTCTCTCTGGTATGTGCCATTTTCTCTTTTCTTTTCTTTTTTTTTTTAAGATTTTATTTATTTATTTCACAGACAGAGATCACAAGTAGGCAGAGAGGCAGGCAGAGAGAGAGGGGGAAGCAGGCTCCCCGCTGAGCAGAGAGCCTGATGTGGGACTCCATCCCAGGACCCTGGGAGCATGACCCGAGCTGAAGGCAGAGGCTTTAACCCACTGAGCCACCCAGGTGCCCCTGTGTGCCATTTTCTAAATGAATGTGGGATGGTCCCCATTTTACAAAAGCTGGGGAAACTGAGGCTTGGAGAGAGGTTAAGGGTACCCCTATCCCCCTCTCTTGAAGTTCAAGGGGAAACCCACAAGATTTCCTTTGGGAGACACTTGCAGTGCAAATGGCCCAGGTGTGATGCACATGGGAGAAAGCCCAAGGAGGAGAGAGTAGGGCTGTGTGAAATGTCCATTGAGCCAAAAGGCTCACCCACAGACAGGCAGGTGCAGAAAAACCCTTGGGGGACTTTGCTTACTTCTGATGGATAAATGAGGGGCCAGTGGCTCGAGCACGTAGAACACAACCAGGGCTGCTCCCTGGCCGCGTGGCTGGCAGGAACCAGATGACGCAGACAGCAAAGGGGAAGGGCAGCAAAAGACAGAGGTCACACAGGGTGGGCTTTGGAGTCGCTCAACCCCTGATAAGCTCTGTGACCTTGGGCAAGGGATGCAGAGCCCTGAGCCTTGGTCTCTGAACATGCCAAGCCCTTCGCAGAGGCCTGGCCCAGGGCAAGCAGCCAGAAAGTACTGTCCACTGTTACTACTTTTATCAATGGATTTCTACTCACTGATGTCTGCACCATCATGGCACGCTGGTCTCGCATTTTCCGGACAATATCCAGTGGGTAAACAGGCAGGTTTCTCTCAATGAGGCACATGGCTGTTTCCATGGTGACCAGCACACCTGTGCGCCCTATTCCAGCACTGGGGGACAGAAGCAGAGACTTGGGATTTGCTCACGCAGTGTTTCTGCAAGGCCCAGCTTAACTCCCAGCCAGTTCCCACATTTACTCAGACAGAGCCTTCCTCTCCTGACCTTCAGAAATACGAAACGCACATTCAGGGCTTGCTCTCGAACGGGCGAGCATATTCTGAGGCCAGGGGCTTCAACACCCATGAAGAGAAACCCAGCTTTAAGTGCAAGCTGCACCCCACTCTCATTCACGTCTACTGTGAAGGTCAGAGGGTCAAGGACAGACGGAAAGCTGAGGGTGCGGCTTTCTTTTTCTGGTCTACATTCAGGACCTTATTCATAAAATTCCAAATCTTTTGAAACAGCGCAGAAGTAAAGCAGAGGCGTCTTGTAAAGGCGTCTGGTCTCGTGGGATGTAGGGTGCTCTTTGCCAACTTTCTCTAGGTCTTTCCCTCTGGGGTGTGTGTGTGTGAACACAAACAGCACCGGAGGGCCACCGTACCTGCAGTGAACTAACACAGGTTCGCCGTCCACGCGCAGGGACCGCACAGAGTTGACGAACTCCAGAAAGTCTGAGGAGTCATCGGGAACGCCGTGGTCGGGCCACGCGACATACTGGAGGTGCGTCACAGTGTGCTCCTCCCCGGTCTGTGGAAGAGGCAGGGTGGCCTTGGTGAGTCCATCCAGAAGGTGGGCAGGGGGACCCCAGCCTCAGTTATGGTGGTCCTGTCTCTGGCTGTCCTTCCGCCTGCCATGCACAGCCCTGCCGAGGCCCCCGGAAAGCCCCATTCACCAGGGCTACTCTCCCACGCACCCATCCTCTGGGACACGGCTCAGGCCACAACCCTGCCCCCCCAACCCCTAGGACAGGTTCTTCCCCACTTCTGCCCTCCACGATTCCTTCCTGTTTGCTCTGATGGTCCTTGCCATTAGGGCCACAAATGGGCTTTTTCTTTCTTTCGGGAAGCAAAATACACGTACAATGAGCTTACCACTTTAAGCGTTAGGTGTACAGTTCAGTGGGATTACCTACTTCCCAGAGTGGTGCAACCATCACCACTAGCCTTTCTCAGAGGTCGTTCATCTTCCTGAGCGGCAGCTCCGGACCCGGGAAGCAATAACTCTTCATGCCCCCGGCCCCCAGCCAACACCCTTCCACTCCCTGTCTCTCGGATTTGGACTCCTGCACTACTCCATACAGCTGCACAGTACTTTCCTCTCGCGACTGGCTGATCTGACCTAGTAGAACGTCTTCAAGGGTCATCCTTGCTATAACATGCATCAGCCTTTCTGAAAGGCTGTGAAAGGCTGAATAGTATTTCCACCGTATAAACGGACCATATCTTGTTTCTCCATGTATCTGTCAATGGACAGCTGGACGTTGCCACCTGCGGGCTGTGGTGAGCAGTGGTGCTGTGAACAACGGTGCTGGTTCTTTCACAAGTCGGCCTGTACACTGGCTGAGAGGCTCACCAGGGGAAAATGGAGAACAGACCTGGAGGCACCAGCCCGCCCAGGACCACGGGGGATACTGCTGTAGAACCTGCCTCTAAGCTGTGCCCTCCCCGCCACCCGCGTTCCCTGCAGGGGTGCGGCTTACCTCAGTGTTGGTGACCAGCATTTCCCGGAACACGTAAGCAATGGTGCAGTCCTCTGACTGACATCGGATGTGAAAGTTGCCGTGTTCCATGACATCGGGAGGATCAGGCCAGTACTGGTGACACTTGGTCTGCAAGGGAACCGCCGGGTGTGAGCTGACCTCCACTGTGGGGCTGGTGCTCAGGACCAGTCACCTGGACAGACGGGGCAGGGGAGGAGCATCCGGCCAGAGCCCGCACACTCCCACCAGGTACTCTGAGAGTGGCTGGTAGCAGGCAGCCTCAGGCAGAGCCCATCAGCTCTGTCTGTTCCCTGAGGGCAGGAGAGGAGCCTCCCCTCCTCTCCTGGAGAGTAGGATAGGAGTGGGCCTGCCAGGGGCCAGGCCACAGCTCTCCATGCAGCCTTGGGCTGCAGCCCAGAGGTTGAGTACAGAGCCCGGCCTCCTCCTCATCAGGGTCCTTTTGCTGGAAGAACAGGAGAGGCCTCAGACATGGTGCCTTGACACAGGAACAACCTCTCTTCCTCATCCTCCCCTAACCCCAGCATCAAGCCCGCTCCAGGGCCTCGGGCCCCTTCTCTGCTCTCCATACCCCCATCCACCTCACCCTCCTTCACCATCCATCCCCTACCCACTCGAGTAGAAGGCCTCGAGGCACAGCGGTTAAGAGCACACAGTGGGAAGTCAGAAGTCTACTGGACTAATTTTCTCCTCTATCTGTTAGCCTTACGGACTTTGAACCTGCCTCTCAACCTCTTGGGATTATCACCGTCTTCACTGGATAGACTGGGACAGCACCTGCTTCCCTGATGATGACAGAGGCTGGAGGTAATGGTGGGCAGTGCCAGGCTCACTGTGGGGGGTCAGGTTACCATGGTTGCTATGAGCCCCCCAATCAACTTCAGTAAGGGTGATCAGAAATTCCACAGAAATCCCAGCGAAAGAAGGCCCCAAACTGAGACGAACATCCCTGTACATTCAAGCAGAATCCCCTAGTCCCTCCCAGGCTTTTGTCCACGACTCACAGAGCTGACACACTCCCCAGATGGCCAATGAAGAACCCTGGCCTCAGAGGCATTAAGCGACTTGCCCAAGGTCATAGAGCTGCTGTGGTTCCCCTTAAGCTCACCGAGAGCCCACGGCCTCTCCCTGTTTTTGATCCTCCCTTTCAAATCCTGATGCTGGCCCACAGCTGTCTTAGCTCCTGCCTCCAGCTTCAAAGCAAAACTCAGGGCCAAGCTGTCCATCCCATCACAGTGCCATCAAATTCTGACTCACTCAATTTTTTTTTTCCTCTCCAAGCCTATAGTTGCAACATCTTACATAAAACTTATATTTGTGTACAGCTAAAAGGGGCTATAAACCGACAGATGCACGTGATTTGTCTAGAACAGCTTTTCTATTCTTATTTTCAAACGTCACAGCAAGTATTTGAAATTAAAGCGTGCGGTCGGAAAGTTGGAGTTAAGAATTTACTTGTAAACCTTAAATATGGGTGTTTGGGTTAGTGGCCATTTCCCAACTTCCCTTAGACAGGAAGGAGCCACCGTCCCCAGAACTCAGGGCAGAGTCAACCCCCTCTGGTCTACACCTGCCTCATCATCTCAGGGTGTCAGGGAACATCTCAAGAAGATGTGAGCACACATGGACCGTGAGCCGAACTGGGCACTCAGAGGCGCCTCGGCCCCTCCTGGTCCTCGGAACGTGGGTTCCGCTTGCCTTTCCTGCTCCCAGGGGCTGCTCAGAGGACATAGCCTAAAGGCAGTAACGTGCTGTTGGAAACACCTATCCTAACTGAGCCCAGTTACGGTCTCTATAAACTTTGAAGACTTGACGGGAAGGTGCAAGGATCCACTTGTCTTGCTGCTACCCAAGACAAGCCTTGTAAGCTGCCTTGGCTTCCGGAAACTGTCACCCATCAGGCCGCAGTGGTCTGTGTCTTTCTTCAGTTTCTCCCTGCCCCCTGCATCCTGCGGGCAGGCCCGGGACCCCTGCCTGGCTTCAGATCACAGCCGGGCAGCTCCTGGGAGGGCTCTCCGCTACGGACGCCCAGGCGTCCTGCCCACAGGACCGCTGACGCGAAAGGCTGTCTGAAGTGATCAGCCCATACAAGGCACAGCCACAGAGAGCCTATTTCCAGAGACTCCCAGTGAAGCTGACGAGAACCGGACTCTACGCTTTGATCAAATTTAGGTTTTAGGTCTGTTTGGATCACAAAGCAGTGAGGGTGTAGAGAAAGAGCAAGGAGTCTGTGAAAACCGAGTTTCAATCCTGGTGAATAGAAAGCTCCACTAACCAACGGTGTGATCCTGGGTGAGTTACTAGACTTCTCGAGTCTGGGTGTCCACATTCCTGCAGGCTGTGGGGGTGAGGACGGTAACCACTAAAGCCTACTAGCTATTGCTCAGGGTATGCCCAGCACGAAATGGTACTTTTCATGGATATTAGCTTGGCCTCAAAAAAACCCTATGAGGGCGGTATTACCGGTCTATTTTGCATATGAATAAACTGAGGTTTTGAGTGTCAATCTACTGCAGATCTTACAAAGATGTGAAAAATAATTTTTCCCCCAGAGAAAGCATCCCTGATGGAAGGGGAGGGAGAATGCTTTTTCAATAGAAAAGTGATACCCCTATAGGTCTTTCTCCTCTATGATGAAACCTGTGAACCTGAAGGGAGACTATTGCTAAGACTAAGAGAAACATTTTGGGGGGGAATGAAACAAGGCAGGAATCAAAGTGATGCTGCCGCGGGAGCACCTCACAGGCTGGAAGACGTGCTCGAGGAGACCCCGCACTCGTGGACGCGCCTGCTGGGCACAGCCATGATGGGGGACTCTGGCCAGCCGCCGTCTGCGGGGAGGCCCACGCTGCTGAATGCACAGTTGAGGAGAGAGCAAATGGGACATGGTGAAAAGCTCAACTCTCAGAATAGGGAAGGGGAGAAGCTGGCTTGGAGACAACCCGTGGGCGGGGTGAAGAATAGATAAGGGACCTTGGGGATAAAGGGTGCGGGTCAGCTGAGAACTCTGAACAGGAGAGGGAGGAAACATGTGGCCTGGATTTTTACAAGAACAGGTTTTCAACAATGGATGCACAGGAGGGTAAGTCCCCAGGGCCCGAGATAGCGAAGGCAATACCGACTCAGGAGAAGGGGCTGGCTGGGATGGGCTCAGTCAGGAAGACTGCTGGGAAACAAAGAAGGCCTGTAGGGCACAGGGAGACCTCGGAGGAGCTCAGGTTCCGAGCAGATGCCGACAAAAGGCGGGGAAGTGGGATGTCATCAGGACAGAGCAGGAGGGGCAGGGCCCATAAGAGTGGGCAGTGGAAGCAGGGCCTATGGGATGGAAGAAAGGGCCTTTCTGTCTGGGCTGGAATGAACAGGATGAGGGAAGAGGGGCTGTTTTCCAGGGTAGATCATCTGTCACTCGCCAGGCCTGCTGCTGCTCGAAAATGACCTCAGGGCTGGGAAGGGCAGAGCCAACATTAAAGGGGAAAGAGAAGCCCAACCCAGGGAGGTCACCGTGTCCAGCTGCCCCAAAAAACCTTGTGACATGGGGATGGCACCTCTATGAATACTCTCTGAAAGAAGCTTCCAGGCACCCAGAAGTCACAGAATAGAGGCAAGCATAGCACAGGTTTCAAATGGGGAGCCTGGCAGGCTGTGGAAAAAGAAAAGGTGACAAAGGTGATGTTAGTCACCTACAAAATAGCAGAAATGGCCCAGAGCAGGTCCTGCAGAGTGTGGGAGCTGCTGGTACAATCAGGGGATTCAATAACATGGAAAGGCATTTAAAAAAAATATTTATTTATGTATTCTTAGAGCACCCACTTGAGCAGTGGGGAGGGGCAACGGGAGAAGGAGAGAGAATCTTAAATAGGCTCCATGCTCACTGTAGAGCCTGATACGGGGCTTGATCTCATGATCCTGAGATCAGGACCTGAGCTGAAACCAAGAGTTGGACACTTTAACTGATGGAGCCACCCAGGCGTCCCAGGCAAATTTTTTCATATGTGTCAAGGACAGTCTGAATTGGGTTGAGGATGGCTTTAACAACCCTTCCTTAATACATTAACTCCCTTTTCATGAGAGACAGAGAAAGTATGTGTGCGCACACATTCATCTGCGCCAGGCTTTGTGTCCAGAGGCTGCAAGGTGAGGCAAGAGTACTCACTTACACTTTAGTAACACTGTTCTATGGCGCATACACATATATAAATATCTATATATCTATATATTCATATATATATATATATATATATATATATCCATGCCCAGAGTGGAGTCCAACATAGGGCTTGAACTCAGAACCCTGAGATCAAGACCTGAGCTGAGATCAAGAGTCAGATGTTTAAACAACTAAGCCACCAGGTGCCCCGTGGTCTTTGTATTTTCATGTATACCTTCTCTTTATGGCATGTGATATTTGATTTCCATTTAAGGTATATCTTTTTTTAAAATAAATTTATTAAAGGAAAAAAAAGATATGTCAATAGAAAAGAAAAAAATAATACTGTAGTAAAATAAATTCAGTCTAGTCCCAGCAATAATTGTTAAGGTGGTCCCCAGCTACCACTGCCAGCTGATGTTTATGTCATATTGTGTGCCAAGCACCCTTCCAAGAAACCCACCGATATTAACCCCCGACAATCCCACAAGACAGGCACTATTATTATTCCATTCTACCCGAGGTTTTGTAGCTTTCCAAAGTCACACAAAGTTCAGAGCCAGGATCTGAATCTGAGTCTGCCCAATCTCCCACCACAGCCCAGAATAAGAGGGTTGTGAGGGCTCCAGAAAAAGAGAGAGTGCGGGACTGTGAGTCAGCCAGGGTTCCCTAAGTTCAAAAAAAAGGGTCTAGGTCACTTCATTTCCTATTCGAAACAAAATTAGAAAAGTGACAAAAAATAAAACAAAATATAAACAAACGAACAAAAAAATCAGACAAAACTGAGACTTGTGGACAAGGAGATGAGGTGATACCCTGTGATTTCAGGAAAGCCTTGCACAGTCTCTCAGGGTAACGGGGTGAGACAAGGTAGAGAAAAGCAGGAGCCAGGAGCAGAGCTGGAAGGGTTACAGCTGGTGCCCCAAGGGTGCCCTCGATGCATCTGACTCACGGCATTCTAGAAGGAGGTTTCTACTGCCTCTTGAGGACCTTCACATTTTTTAACAGTGACTTCATGACAAGAAGAGATTCTGATCAAAACTATGAGTGACAAGAAGCTAAGAGTGACAGCCGACACAAGGAACAATAGAAGGGAAGCCCAAAAAGCCGCAGGGAGCATGTGACAGGCCAGATCTGTGGCTGAATCCAGCCCATGACAATGACACATGAAACAATGCTAACATCTGCTGGACACTTGCCACATGCGGTTCTCTAAGCTTTTTACATACAACGTCTCCGTCTCTACAACCCATCCAAGATGGGCAAGACGATCGCCTCCACCTCATATATGGAGAAGCTGAGGGCAGAGAGATGAAGTAACTTGCTCAGGGGGAATCACGCTGTGAACCCAGATTGTCTGGCTCCAGGACCCGCGACATTCTGAATGTAGAGCTTTGAAGAGTCAAGCGCAGAGTATGGAACAGGGCAACTGGCCCGAGAGTGACACCAAGACAGAGACCAAACGCTTTCTGCGGGTCACAGGATTGCCGGAAGCCGAGATTATAACCTTTTACAAAGTCTGAGGTTATTTTCAGATACCTAAAAGGCCAGTGCCTAGGAGAGAGGGGTAACTTATTCTGTGTCTTCCCGGTGGGAGAAGCAGGTGGGGTGGAGGTTCAAAGGCATGTGGATTTCAGCGAGTGGTAAGGAGGAATTTTTTTTTTTTTTTAAACTGGAGCCGAACACCCATGAGGCGGACCCTGGAGGTGTTTTTGCAGAAGCGGGGAGCCCGCTACTTCGGAGAACACACAGAAGTCCTTTGCAATCCATCGGGCTCTGCAGAATTAGTTAGGAATTCTCATTTTGCTGTTTCAGGAAAGATGTAGACTGTTCTGAAACATACTATTCATTCTAATCTGCACAATCAGATTTTCAGCGTGGATCAATTTGGTATTCTGAGTGATGGACCAGGGAGGGAGGCCTGGGAAGGAGGCCTGGGAGGGAGCAGCACACGAATCATTCAAAGCAGGTAGCTCAAAGTTAATTTATCTCTGCATAAATGTTTCCTAATGAAGGTATCTTGCCGTATGCACAAGTTAGAGAATGCACAACACAGGTATCTCTTGCCCAGTGACTTCTGTTCTATGACCAGTGAAATGCTCCTCTGGAAAATGCACCCCACTAAGCCCAGTGTGCTGCCTGTCACTCTCCTCATCAAGCCCTTCTTCCCCTTTTTGCATCGGGTTTTGCTGCATCACAAGCAAGGCAGACAGAGGCTGTAATTTTTCTAATTATTATGGTCACTGTGGCACACCCACCACTCTGCTCAGGACCAGCGCTTGTCCTGTGTGGCTGAGGCTATAGTCAACACGGGAATTTGGGGGCAGGTGAAGGGAGGCAAGGGGAACAGCCTTCTGCTGGTTATGATGGATCGGAGACAGGGACGGGAGGGGCTGTCTGATCCTCGTCATCTCTGGGAGGGCCAGGGAGTGGGCAGGAGTGCCGAGCCGCCCATCAGTCGAGGTGTCTATCAGTAGCTCTCAAAAGGAGACCTATGGGTCACACAGGGGCTGGACCAGGGGGTGTTAAAAGATCCTTTCCAGGTCTGAGGTTCATGTTCCACAGAGCATGGCGTGACATGCCTGCGTGTGAATTGGAAATCAAGCCACTTACCCGCCCTCGCTCGGTGAGAGTCGTCAACATGACAATGAGTGATAACTTCTGATCCCAGACGACTTGCCAAAATTGTGCACAGGTGTGTGGCAGGGGACCCTGAGCAGCAATGTACTTGTTCACAAGGTTAGCAGCAGGAATTTCCATCTGGCAAGAGATGGTTCAGGCATTAGTACCCGTAGCCGTGACAAGGTAGACGCGGAACTGGATCTTAAACTCTTCTAGTTGGTGCCTCACATCACACCAGAATATCCCGCCAATTTATAGCCAACAAGGAAAATCAAAGAAAAAGCTACTTTAAAAAATCCTTGAAACACACTGGACAATGCCACTAGCATTAACTACGTAGGGTAAAGCCGTATGACACGCAGTAGGTGATAATCAGAAACGTACCTACAAGATGGCAGAAGATTCTCAATGACTTTTACTGCTAGATCCTAAATATAATCAGTGCTGGCCATCTGAATCTTCAGCAACACATACCAGTCCTCGTGCCCAAATCTTTCCCCATGCAGAGCTTTCTATCAAGATCCACGGACTTTTCTCTGATGCACAGACCACACGGCTTATCCCCCCACAAATGCTATGCTTTGCTTTCTGCAGGGCTGCCAACGTCATTGAGCTGACCAATCCTTTCCCCCACCCAGCCTTACGATGTATCATCAACAAATAAAAATTGCATGTATTTAAGGTGTACAACAGGATGGTGTGATACATGCGTATGTTGAGGAATGATCACCACAGTCAAGTTCATGAACACATCCATTACTTCACACAGTTACCACTTGAGTTCATTAATGTTAAATGCCAAAATGTTTTCAGCTGTCCTCAGTGTCCCTCCGCCACCTGGCCCTGCTCACACTTCTTTCCTCTGAACAGAGTGATTTCTATGAAAAACATTCAGAACTTGATGAGCTCTGAAGCGACACTGGGATTCACTCATTCTTAGATGGGGAAGGCAAAGAGAGGCGCCTAATTCATGGTTTGGTTGATGCTTGGGTTAATGGCTTCTTCAACCCCGGTCTGAGTTCCTTCATATCGTCACGGTCAAGGAGACCGGATGGCGTGACCTTGCTGGCCCCACCAATTCTGATGCTCTGCTCTTAAGACACAAGGAAGGGTGAAGTGAGGGGGCAATAAGTTCCACAGATGTTTTGGAATAAATGGAATCACTGATAGGACCCATTTTTATCAGGCAGTTCTTGATATTTTGCTGTAACTTGAAAACTTGAGAAATCATCTGTTCATTTAGATCAGGGGTTGGCAAACTGTGGCCAGAGGGCCAAATCTGACAGCCACTTTGCAAGCTAATAGTGTTTTGTTTTTGTTTTTGAAGATTTTATTTATTTGAGAAAGAGAGAGCATGCATGAGAGAGCACAAGTAGGGGGAGCAGCAGGGGCAGGGGGAGAAGCAGACTCCCCGCTGAGCAGGAAGCCCAAGGCAGGGCTTGATCCTAGGACCCTGGGATCCTGACCTGAGCCAAAGGCAGACACTCGAATGACTGAGCCACCCAGGCACCCCATGATTTTTTTTTTTTTTTAAGATTTTGTTTATTTAAAGAGCATGAGCAGGGGGAGGGAGCAGAGGGAGAGGGCCAAAGAATCTCAAGCAGACCCCACGTGTGTGAGGAGCCCGAGTCGGGGCTCAGTGGGATGACCCTGAGGCTCACGACCTGAACTGTAATTGAGAAACAGATACTGAATGGACTGAGCCACGCAGGTAATCTACAAGCTAAGAGTGTTTTAAAACTATTTTTACATGGTTGCATTTTATTTTATTTTATTTTTAAAGATTTTATCTGTCAGAGAGAGAGAGAGAGAGAGCGAGCGCAAGCACAGGCAGACAGAGTGGCAGGCTGAGGCAGAGGGAGAAGCAGGCTCCCTGCTGAGCAAGGAGCCCCATGTGGGACTCATCCCAGGACGCTGGGATCATGACCTGAGCCGAAGGCAACCGCTTAACCAGCTGAGCCACCCAGGCATCCCTACATGGTTGCATTTTAAATGGCTGTGTAAGTACCTAAGTAATATCCTCATTTTGCCTCAGCCTACAAAGATCGAAACGTTTATCACCCGGCCCTCTACAGAAAAAGCATGCTAACCCCTGGTTTAAATGATGACAATGAGGTTCAGAGAGGCCAAGTAAGTTGTCCAAGATGCATCTGCAGAGTGAAGTGCATGTTTTTCCCACAACATGTGAAATCTGTTATCTTTTCTTTCTGGGTTATATGCACAAGTGGTTTTCTTCCTCTTATTTTTAGGTGGGATGTACAGTAATAACATGCGGTGGGGGGGAACACAGAAAGTTACAAGCATACCACTGGCAAGAAAAAAAAAATCAAAACAACCAAAAAAAAAAAACCCACAAAAATGTCAGCAGTTGAGGACAGAAGGCATGTGGACGATGGGAGTCAGAGACACGGAGTCTGAGTTTTGGTCTCACCTTCTGTTAGCTTTGTGACTTTTCAAATTATTTGATCTCTCTGAACCTTAGTTTTGTCCTCTGTAAAGTGAGACTATTGTGCCTTCCCTCAGGGGCTGCTGAGGTGCTGAAAGGAGGGGGCGAACGGGGAAGCACTCTGTCCACCGCAAAGCACCACCCATGCCACGATCATGCTTGGGACAGTGATCAATGTGCTCTTAGTATCCAGATTCTTGACTTACGTTCACATAACTCGCATTAATATAATCTTCATTTCCCTGCAATAAGACCCGGGTGGTGTCGTCTGCAGGGAGAAAAAAATTTACCGATTATCCGGAGCGTTACTTGGATCATGCCAAGGAAACCAGAGTTCAGTCCCCAAGCCCATCTGCAGTTCTCGCCTCATTAGCATAAACACTATTCCCCAACTGTTCCCAGTCTGACATGGCGGCAATAAAGACGGTGGTGTTTACAGACACACTGAAAATCGTTCCAGAATACCAGACAATCTGTTTTAAAAAGAGAAACATTATCTCGGCGAGTTGGGGGAGGGCGGGCAGGGGAGGGAGGCGTTCACCCCTGATACTCACAAGGCAGCACATCTTTGTATCGGTTTTTGTCCAAATTTTGAGGCAGCTTTGCAAAGGTGATGGCGAGACCCGGCTTCTTTCTGTAGAGTTGCTATATAACGAATACAGAAGCGAGGGAAAAAAAACAAAAAACAAAAAACGAGCATTGCAAAAAACAGCTATGGAGGGAGTGTGGAAACATACTTTAATAATAGTCAACCATGCCCAGCACTTAGGGGCTATATCATTTATTTTTTCAAAGAGCGAGCAAGCAGGGAGGGGCAGAGGGAGAGAGAGAGGGAGAAAGAGAGAGTATCTCAAACAGACTCACCACCCAGTGCAGAGCCCGAAGTGGGGCTTAATCTTACCACCCTGACATCATGACCCGAGCCAAAACCACGAGTCAGCTGCAAAACCAACTGAGACACCCAGGTGCCCCTAGATGCTACTATATTTTAAAAGAAAACTCTTCCCAATAAGAAATTTTATACTCCTATGAGAAACTGACTACATTCACTTTTTTTCTTTTTCTTTTTTCTTAACATGAGGATCTTTGGGAGAAAGGAAGTCACAGGCAGGGTTCTGAATCACCAGATAATGGAATATGGTTAGTAAAACCTCATCCTTATGACAGTTACTTGACAAACGCTAGAAGCAAGTAGAGAAAGGAAAGGATCCTGACTCCAAGTTACAATGGAGACCATTTACATTAGTCTAGAAACATTTCCTTCCAGTTCAACGGAGAGAGCCCGGTTCTTAACTAAAGTACAAGAGCATCTCATTTCATCATTTCAGAAGTCTTGTTTCCACAGTAAAAATAGTGAAAGCTTTGTTTAAAGACGTATTTCCGTGTGCATGAAACAACTAGGAAAAAATGCAATTAAAACCATCTTTGTCCATCTATAAGCACCTACTGGACACATTTATGTGGTACCTGGTATGATTCTGATAAAAGGTCTGTGGGAGGGACTAAGAGGGCCCTTATTTCACAAGCGAGAAGCAGAGACTATATATCTCGCTCACAGTCACGATCAGATCCGACTCAATACTTGAGCTTTCTTTTTCTCTGAAACCACACTGTGGAGGTATGACTGTCATGTAAGAAGTGGTACGTATTTCACGTATATAACTTGCAGAGTCTGGGGAGAAGGATACACCACAAGGGCCGCAGACACATTTGTTCCTTCCCAGTTTTCTCCAGCCCTTGAGTTTTTTCTTCCCCTCTTTCTTTCCTTTTTTTTTTTTTAAGATTTTATTGATTTATTTGAGAGAGAGGGTGCACGCACACATGAGTGGGGGAGGGGCAAATGGAGAGGAAGAAGCTGACTCCCTGCCCTCATGACCCTGAGATCATGACCTGAGCTGAAACCCAGAGTTGGGCGCTCAACCAACTGACCATCCAAACATCCCTCACCAGTGCTTTTGCTAAATGAACTTTATGAAAGTTTAAAAACAACACAACTTTTTTTTCAATATTGAAAGTGTTCTTTCTTTCCCTAGAAAATCTGGGAAATTCAGACTAGGATAAAGAAAAAAAAAATTACCAGTAATTTCACAACCCCTACGATGACCCTTTTCATCGGTTTTCTCTAGTTTTCTATGCATACATGTATACAAATAAACCTAAGTACACATGTATACACAGAAGACCGAGACATACTACATTTTTAAAAATAAAAAATGAGACTCACCTCCATATTGGCACTTCCTATACTATGTTCTATGGAACCCAAGGGGTTTCGTTTCTTAAGACTTTTATTTATTTATGTGCTAGAAAGAGAGCAGGAGAGCACAGCAGGGCGAGTGGAGGCAGAGGGAGAAGCAGGCTCCCCACCTGAGCAGGAAGCCCGTTGTGGGGCTCAAAGTGGGGCTCGATCCCACGACCCTGGGATCATGACCTGAGCTGAAGGCAGATGCTCATCCAGGCACCCTGCCCAACTGTTTTGAAAGACGCTAATAGGTATTCCTTAGAAAGTTTCAAGTCAAAGAAATTTGGAAAACACAAGCCATCTTATGTTCTATGATTAGCTAAGCGTTTCTCAAGATCATTTGGAGGCCATGGAGGATCTCACATCTCATAAGAAGTATTCTGGGAAATACTATCATAATTTTGAAGCCTGTTTTTTCCAGCTTACTAGAGCCTAGTTCCCTGTGCCATTAAATCTTCTAATATTCTCTACATAAAATGATTTTTACTGGAATAATTTATAGTTTCACATAATGTAACTTTTACTCTATCTTTTGATTAGGCTGTTTTCAGTGTTTTTACTCTTATAAATTTCCAGGAGAATTATTGCATCAAAACATATTTTTAGGGACTGTGATACATATAACTAAGTTGCCCTACCAGGGTGTATGAGAACAAATTATTGTTCCATCAAATTGTGGCCAACATCATCAATGTGTTTGCAATTTTAATAAGAAGGCTGGGCAGTGTTTTCCGCCAGAATTTTTGCAAATTGTATTTTTTGCAAATTGTATTTTTTGCAAATTGTATTTCTTGTAAACTGACCTCTGTGAGTCTGTTTCTCTTATTAGTTCTTTTTTCATTAAATAAACAAGCTGCACAGAAATCACCAGGAGAGAATTAGCACTGAGATTTTTGGCAACAATAATTGTGACATGTCTTATACATTTACCAGATGTTCAGAATTTGCAATCTCTCCCCCAGCTCAGCTACTGAACTTCACAATTTCAGTTCATAACAATCAAGCAGCCACAGAACAACTTCTGAAATGTCTGCCACCTTTCATGGACTGAGACCATTTTAGAAATAAATTCATGATTTATTGGGAGGTTTGGTTTGATACTGTAAGGAGACTATCTGAGTCGTATTTCCCCAAATGACCTTTTGGTTCTGACTGACTAACTGCATGGAGGTAAAATCCAATTAAGTGAATATAATCAGTAAAGCTAAGCCGGAGGTTCAAATTCCAAGATTTTTTTTTTTCCCCAAATAAAGTCGTAAATGTAATCAACTTGACATGGTCTAGCAGAAAAGCACAGATCTAGCAAAAGGCTTTAATTACAACATAACATAATTTAACAAAACATTACCGTAAATATATAAATATATCTCAGCCATAACAATCTGTTGATAAATTATTAAGGTTCTAAAATAAAAAGTAAAATAACAGTGTTTAAACATTTTAAAATGTGCACACCCTGGGCTTTATCTGACAGGAATGCATAAAGATTCATATCAAAGAAATTTCCCCACGGCGAAGTATTTTTTTTATGAATACTGGAAATAGCCTGAAAATTTCCCAGTAGGGAGAAGTGTTGCCTTAAATTATGGTACAGTCATACCACAGAATTATGTGCAATGAAGAGAAGAAGACTAAAGCACAGATTTGGAAGGATATACATTCATCTCTTTCTAAGCGAAGAATGCAAGTTACAGAATAAAGTGTGATCCCTTTTATATATAACAGCGCATTTGCCACTACTGGGTATTTACCCTAAAGATACAAACGCAGTGATCCAAAGGGGCACGTGCACCCGAATGTTTATAGCAGCGATGTCCACAATAGCCAAACTATGGAAGGAACCTAGATGTCCATCCACAGATGAATGGATAAAGATGTGGTATATATACACAATGGAATACTATGCAGCCATCAAAAGAAATGAAATCTTGCCATTTGCGATGATGTGGATGGAACCAGAGGGTAGCATGCTAAGTGAAATAAGTCAGAGAAAGACAATTATCATATGATCTCTCTGATATGAGGAATATGAGCGGCAGGATGGGGAGTTTGGGGCGTAGGGAAGGAAAAAATGAAACAAGATGGGATTGGGAGGGAGACAAGCCATAAGAGACTCTTAATCTCACTAAACAGTTACTGAGGGTTGCTGGGGGGTGAGGGGTATGGAGAGTGTGGTTGGGTTATGGACACTGGGGGAGGTGTGTTACATGGTGAGTGCTGTGAAATGTGTAAACCTGGCGATTCACGGACCTGTACCCTTGGGGTAAATAATACATTATATGTTAATAAAAATAATTTTTAAAAAAGACCAAAAAATACATTTGCATGAGCACCAGAACAAGTGTGGAAGGACAGGCACCAAGTTGTTATTTGTAAATGTGTAACAAAGAGAAAGAAGCTAAAGAAGATGGGAGTCAGGAGACAATTCTACTTTGGCTATTTCTGAATTACTTGAATTATTACAATGCAAATTCTTTCTTTTTTTTTTTTTTAAAGCTTTTACTTAACTTTTAGTTAGTTAACATATAGTACAATATTGGTTTCAGGTGGAGAATTCATCAGTTATATACAACACCCACAGCTCATCAGAAGTCCCCCACTTTAACGTCCATCACTCATTTACCCCATCCCCTGCCCACCTCCCCTCCAGCCAAATTCTTTTCCTTTTTTTTTTTTTTTTTTTAAGATTTATATATTTGAGAGAGAAAGAGCATGTGAGTGATCAGGGAGACTCCCAAGCAGACTCCCCATTGAGCACGGAGCCCAACACAGGGCTCCATCCTACCACCCTGAGAATCATGACCTGAGCAAAAACCAAGAGTCAGAGGCCCAACTGACTTAGCCACCCAGGAACCCCAGCCAAATTATTTCTTAAATTCAAACGACTGAATGAGGACAAAAAAGAACCTAGAATAAATCTATATATAAAATTTCAAAATTCTACAAAAAGCTGGGTGAACAGGAAGATGATTTTGGGGGCCTTCAGAGAGTAGGACAACAAGCTCATATTCGTGTCTGCCTTGCCAAGGTGAACACTGAGCCCTATTTCTGCTGAAATGCTTCAAGTCCTAGTCATCCACTTAGCTTCTGAAGGTGTTAAGTGTTGGTTTTCAACGTCCTTTAATTTACTGACTTTTTCTCCAGACCCCGTGAGCTGCTCAGCAGGCTATGAAAAACTCCTCTGAGAAGGGTGATTCAAGGTGGAGAGTGAGGTGTTGGAAACCCAGGTATGTCTTTCCAGAAGGGTCAGGGATGGAGAGAAAGGAATTAAAGACCATCAGCCAGAATCCAGAGGAAGCTCTTTTAAGAACTCCTCATTGCAATAGGACACTTGGCTGGGGTTATTCCCAGGCTAAGGGTGTGTGAGCTCAGGAAGGAGCCGTCAGTCACACAGATCCCTTCA